CTTGCCAGGGAGGCGCTTATTTTACTGAGCCATCTCCCCAGCCCACCGCCACCATTTTTGAGTCGCAGCAGAAAATGTGGTTTGTAATAGTTACCTCTGCCTCAGAGAATCGTGTTTATTCAAAGCAGCCTCTGGCAGCACTTAGCACGGTACAGCACAACACAGGAGAGAAAGTGAAGCACCGTTAGCATGAGGAAGCCCAGTCCCTCAGACTTCCTTCTAAGCCCCAGGCTGGCATCTCGACTCAGCACGCTCGTCGCCCGATCCACGGCCACTTCAGGGTCAAGCGGTTCCTAAGCCTCACAGGAGCGTCCGCGGGATGGCGCCTCTGCGTCCCTACGCTCCCGCCCTCGGGCGCCGGAGGCCGCAGCTCCCTCTGCGGGGCGCTGGGCTCGTGCTGCCGCGTCCTCCAAGCGGTGGGATTGCGGGCGTGGGGCGCCACGCCAAGCCTGTCAGGACGGGCTGACTGAACCAGCCAGCTGCGGCTCAACAGTGAGCCCAGCGCCGGGCGGCGTCGCCCGGTCCCAGGAAAGGAAAGAGGACCGCGGCCGCCCGCCGTCACCCGCCGTCACCCGCCGTCACCCGCCGCCGCGGGCGCGCTCACCTGCCCTGCCCTGCCTCGGCCTCCAAGACGCTGGCAGCAGCGCCGCCGCGGGATGAAGAACGACATACGCGTGCTGAGCCCGCTGTGCTTTAAGGATGACACACGTGTGCACAGAACTCGTCGCAACGCGACAACTCCTCAAAGCCGTAGGACGCGCGGGCCGCCGTCAGGTGCGCGTGCGCACTGTGGGGGGGTGGGGGTGGGTTCCCAGTGCGCACGCGCGCTGCTGTGATCTCGCAGCGCGCATGCGCACCACTGCCTGTAGGCTCCGCAGGCACGGCAAGTCGAGCGTCGAGCAGGGGATGGTGCCGAGTCCCGAGCGGCCTTCCCTTCAACGGTCCTCCTCGGAGGCGGTTCCCGGCAAAAAAAAAAAAACAACGCGAGTACGTGTGTGGGTACCGGGGGCGAGAGCCGCTCTGGGCATTACAGGTCCATTCGTGCGGGACGCCCAGGGCTGGAGAAAAAGGAGAAAGGGGCCCCTGTGGAACCGGAGGGGGACCAGGTGCTCCCAGGAGGCGGCGGGATAGATGAGGCCTCCCGGGAGGAGGGCTCCTTTGGGGACAGTGGGAACCGCCAGAGGCCAGACGCAGACCCAAGGGGTAGAGCTCAAGGGCAGAAGGACCCTCAGGGAGAAGACAGGGGCATCCTGGTGCAGGTACACCCTGTACCCAAGGAGAAGCCCCACCTGGCGCGTTGGTGCACGCCTGTCATCCCAGCCCGGGGGGGGGGGGGGGGCAGAGTTCCCGCGGGTTTGAGGTCAGCCTGGGCTACATGGCGACGGCAAGACCAGCCTGAACTGCATGGTAATATCCTGTCCTGTCTCAAAAAAAAAAAAAGTAAAATCATGGATAAGGATAAAAGAAGGGAATCCTAGTGGTTGATGCTGTCCTGGGACAGATGTGTTTTGAAGATGAGGTACTGAGGTCCTAAAAGGGGGGGCCATGGGCTGTAAGTAGCTGCCCGAAGTCTGGGTAGGTTGTGGAAAGGACAGGAGAAGCCGCGTCCTTCGGACAGTAGCCTTGCTCCAAGAGAGGGCCAGCACATGCTGGCGGAATGCCTTGTCAGAGTGCATGTCCAGCTGTGGGATTCCTGGGTGCTCACCCAGGTGTGCTGCTCTCCCTGTGCCCGAAGGGCCTTTGTGTTCCCGTGGCAATGTGCACAGGCTTCCCTCCAACTTTCTCATCAAACCCTCTGTACTGTGGTTCCCCCTTGGTGCTTCTGTGAGCCAAGTGGCTTGGGATCCTTTCTGTGGCCTCTTTTGATTGATGACAGTTTTTCTCTTTACAGGTGGCCTCCTGAGCTTGCTTTTCTACAAGATGTTGGGGTTTTTGAAGCGCCCTGTAGTGGTGACCGCTGACATCAACTTGAATATTGTGGCTCTGACTGGAGTGGGGCTACTGAGCCGGCTGTGGCATCTCTCCTACCCGCGGGCTGTGGTGTAAGCAGAGCAGCTCCACTATGGGGATCCAGAAAGGATCCTATCAGCATCGGGAAGAGGCTGTTTAGAGAATGTCATGGGGGAAGTCCTGGGCTTCTTAGTTGTGGAGCTTTATGGCAGTGAGAGTGAGAGGTATCGGTGGCAAAACACCTACTGAAGACAGCTTGTAGGTCTTGCTGTGTGGTTCAGTAGCAGGGGAAGCTGGGCCCATGAAAGAGAGGAGTAGAGGAAAGTCTCCTCAGAGCTGACCTTTCCGTTCTGAAATTGGAGGACAAGCCAGATGTGGTAGGTAGCATGTGCCTGGAATCTTAGCACTCAGAAGGCAGAGGCAGGAGGATCACCTGGAGTTGGAAGCCAGACTGGGCTGTATAATGAGTCCAGGGCCAGCCAGAAGCACATAGAGAGGCCCCGTCTCAAAACAAAACAATGGAAGACAAAAAAAAACAAAAAACAGAGAACGGGTAAATTTGGATACGTTAGTCTCAGAGTACCCATAACATGGGTTGGATCATAATGGAAAATTACTGCTATTATTGAAGGACTGTTTTCTATCTCCTCCATATGTTGTTTTTTAACATTTTATTATGGAAAACATCAAACACATGCAAAAGTAGATAGAACCATTAAATGACCCTCCGTCAATGTGTTTGAGAACTTTTTTTTTCTCTATTTTTTTCAGTTTGACAATGTGTGTGGGGTTTTTTTTGGTTTGTTTGTTTTGTTTTGTTTTTTTGTGGAACCGGGGATTGAACTCAGATCCTTGTGTTTGCCAGTCAAGCGCTTGTCCTACTGAGCCATCTCCCCCGGCCAATGTGTTTATTAATTATGTAGCTTCGCCAACCCTTAGCTTACAGCCAGGCCCTTGCCTGCACTGGGTTAGTTGAAGCAAATCCTACACATTATATTTCATTTATAAAGAATACAGCATATAGCTTTAGAAGTAAGCAAAAGTTACGGAGCCGTAGCAGTGTCACTGTGCCTAAGAGGTTCATAGCAATACCTGCTGTCGCCATATTTTTCTGGTTGTCTAAAAATGTCTGGGGAGTCGGTTCCTGCATACCTTCTTTTCACACCTGCAGCTGTTTCGCTGGCTCACCAGGTCTGGTCCAACTTATAGCCGCAGACATCAGCCTCTAGTTAATATATTCCTAAGTCAAAACACTAGGGAAAGACAGTGCCAGGGCTGTACCTCAGTGGGAGAGCACTTGCTTAACATGTGAGTCCCTGTGTTCAATCCCCAGCACTGCGCCCCTCAAAAAAAATTACATCTAACAGTGGTGGCGCACACCTATAATTAGCACTCTGGGAGGCTGAGACAGGAGGATCACAAGTTTAAACTCAGCCTTGGCAATTTAGCAAGTTGGCAAAACTTCTGTCCCAAAGTAAAAAATAAAAAGGGCTAAAGATGTACTTAGTAAGAAGGCTCTGGGCTCAGTACCTAGTACCACTCACACATATATAAAACTAGAATGAAAAACAGCACCTACATGAGGTCAGAGCCAGCCTGGTGAATTTTCCCCTCTGCCCCTGTGAATGGTGATGCCATACGTGTTTCTTAACATTTGGGGATAAGATGGAATTGGAGCAAATGATCTGACCACTGCCAACCGCTCACCCAAAGTTGTTCAGAAACACACAGGCGTATCCATACACCTTTTGTTCACAGTTAAGATTTCTAGTTGAACAGATGATGTGTGGCTTTTTCAGCTTTGATGAAGTCTATTATGGGCAGTACATCTCCTTCTACATGAACCGGATCTTCTTTCTGGATGACAGCGGGCCGCCGTTTGGCCACATGCTACTCGCTCTGGGAGGTAGGTGTCCTCATGGGAGTGGCCCTACCTTCAGGCCCCTAGGTGTCCTCATGGAGGTGGCCCTGCCTTCAGGCCCCTAGG